CGACCCCCCCACGATCAACCTAGACAATCTAATTGTAATTGTAACGAATAACATCAACATTCCGAGGCGGAACGCGCGGACATCGTGCGCAGGAACTGCCTCGTATGACAAACCCGACCTGGACATAAATGTCCTTTCCTCACACTCGTCTCTCATCTCAGTCAACACGCTAAGAACGAAGACAAAAGACACATAGACGAGAGTGGGAGAGTCTGAACTCGAACGTCGCGTGATGATTCTCTGCACAATGGTACCTTTGGTTTGTTACCACGATCGACATAATTTCAGGCTCCCTTTGTCAGCACACAATTATAGACTAACACAGTCTTTGCCTCTCTTTACGCCACTCCCTCTGATTATACTGGAGGCCTACCTTTGCCCTCACCGTTACTTTTAGCCCCAGAGGGCGCTTTTTAGCCTCCCACTGGTTCATTACGAGTGCGGCATGCACCGCTTACCCTGGCTGCAATCGCGCAGCTTGCGCCGGCACGGGTGGTACCCGCTTGGCAGAAAATGAGTGCGGCCTTGCGGTGCCAGAGGCAACTCCGCGGGCCACAGGTGTGTCTTGTCCTAGGGCTTGTTACGAATAGCGATTGCTTCTCCCGGGAAAGGTGCACGGCCGGCTGCGGAGTCCCGGTGATAGACTCGCGGATGAAATTCCAGAGAGAGAGAGTACGAAACGTCCGACAAAGAGAAGATCCCCCAATAGGAATGACATACACAGAAGAAGGAGAGGAATTCGTTCACATTACCACACGAGACACAAACTCATAACTCTATCCTAGAGAGGGGCCCTTTGCTCCCCGGCCGCAGTAGAGTAGTCAACATCACCCCGGAGAGCATCGAGACAAAAACAGATCACAGTTCCGTGCACCACGATACCTTGATGCAAGAATAGAAGCAATCCGTACCGTAACTTGTTTGATAACAGGCCACCAGGGACGACAGACACACTGCGAGATGCCCGCCTCGTTCGTATTTGCCATCAGTCCCAAAGGTGTCAGCCGGTATAACTCAGTACTGGACCATGAGAAGCGGGGATTATACCTACACAGCGGAACAGAACAGAGAGACAGGAACCGGCGTGTGACCTTGTCTTCCTGCCGGATGGATGCGCGCAACTATGCGTGAGAATTTATATGCCATAGCTTATAGCACCGGGACCCACAGTAAAGGCATAACATAGAACAATTCGTTGAGTAAGTGAAAAGCTTAAAAATCGTTGATGTTTGCCCAACATGAGAGCGCTGCAAAAAAGTACTTACAGCGAATAGTGACGCTAAAGGAGGATTCCGGACGCGAAAGGCGGCCCCAGTAATAAAGAGGGCGATCAAGAGGGCTAAAAGACTGTCTGTAGTCTAAATGGGGCTGACAAGGTGAGTCCTCGAAATTCGCACGCACTTAGGTCGACAAAACCGAGCGGTTCAAAGGTCAGACACAAAACCCAAAGGTACCATTGTGCAGAAACCATCACCGAGCAGCGTCGTCCGCGATTCAAACACTAGTCAACACACAAGTCGCGATTTTCTTTAGCTATAAGTGAAGCAATTATGACTGATTCCGTA